GTTTTTGCCTGTTGAAATAAAGGTTAAATAAAAATAAAACAAACTAACATTTTAATATATAATTATAAATTATATTTTAAAATAATGATGAAAAACAGATTTGATTTTATCATCATGAATTAAAACATTTATTACATTTAATTTTTTGCATTTTTTTCTTATCTTCCCTCCAGCTTTCTTTTTGAAAAACACAAATATAAGCCGGTATAGAAATAACAAATTAGTCAGGAAAAAACAAATTGTTTTAAATAACAAGGTTTTTTTCTGTCTTTAAACTCAGTCAACACGCCTGCTTCTAATTAAATGTTTCTATTCTCTTAGTTATTTTACAAAAAAAAAAATAATAGAAAACTGTTTATTTCAGTTTCTGTTTGATCCAAATGTATTCAAAGCTCTCGTTAATATTATAAAATACTTAAAATAATCTTTACAAGATACTGTTTTTAGCAAAAAAGATGCACAAATTTCTGTCTGGTCTTTAAACTTTTGAACAGTTTAGGATCTTTTCAATCAATCAACACCTTAAAATCGTGGCTCTTTTATTGTCATGTAGGATTCTTAGATCAACTCTGCATCTTTATTCTTTTGTTTGAATTGTAATGATTGTTGTGACATATGTCTTTTCATTCTTTTTAAACATGTTAATACATTATTTTTTATTGTTAACTTGTATTTATTGTGTTTTTATCTACAGTAATGAGGGGCTACAGATGAAAACTAGCCTTCGTGGCTAATCCTGGTATTTTCTGTGATGAAACAAACAAACAACAACATTGTGTGTGTGTGTGTGTGTGTGCGGTCTGACCTCTGCGAGCATGTGGGCGAAACTGTGGCGGCCTTTCAGGCAGGACGAGGCGGTGGCCAGCAGGATCTGTGTTCGGATCTCGCAGCGGTCCAGTTCGTTTGTGTCGGGCTGGGAGTCCTCTACGAACACGCAAGACTCAAAGTTTGGATCTGGACTCGTTACGTTCTGATTTAAAAGCTCTAAACAATTTTAAATGCGTCGCGCTTAATAAACAACAAATAAAAGTCAAGAGAGACCGAGGCTCACCTGGTGGGTTGTAGCGGTTCCCCAGCCGACCGTCCCAGGCTCCGTCGCTGTCCTCATCGGAGTCAGAGTAGGACTGGACCAGCTGCAGCCCAGTAGTTTCACTGCCGTGGACCAGTCGGACCTGGCCCCTGAACCCCCCCCAAACATCAGGTTAATGCTTCTGACCGGGGCCGTGCTGTCCTGATACAACCATTTTTAATAKTATTTGTTCTTTTTCAGAAAACCCAAACAAATATCAACTCAAACGAGCTTAATTTTTTTCAAAAATGAGGATTTTTTTCCCCGAATTTTGTTGTTTCAATCAACTTTTTTTAATGCCATACTTCAAAAAGCAAACTCTCTGACTAATTACATTTATTTGTTTTAATGATATTAGCAACATCGCTGTCATTACGAGTCGCTTCTCGGACTTTGGCGGCGCCTTCAGGTTGATGTCTCAAACTTGAAAAGCAACATATTTATGTAAACGCAGCTGACGCTCCACAAAACCACACTTCAAATGTGCAAATTTCCCCACTGTGGGATCAATAAAGTTTTATATTATCTTATCTTAAAATGTCCTTTTGAACTATTTTTTCTTTAAATAATATTTTTTTATTAAATTTAGCAGAACTGGTAAATAATGTGAATTYAAATTAGTTTTCTCTTCTTTATTCTACAGTTTTACAAATATAATCTTTAGCTCATTTCACAGGTTGGATTGCAGCAGACTATAATTAAGTGTTTTTATTGCACAGTCACTACAAACAGGCAACAACTGAACAGGAAATACTAAATTAATGTTGCGTAATTGAGCATCTATAAATTCATGCATCTTTCTGCATTTTTCCCCACACCCAGATTAAAAACACACCTCATATAATCTGATCTGTAACAAGACAGAGGTAAAAAGCAGCACCTTCTCAGTAGGTAAGCCAGAACTTCAGCTAGATCCACGTCCTCCTCTGAAGTCGACTGCCGGCCCCCCTGCTGCCTGTCAGCCGACCTGCGGCCTCGGCTGCTGCTGCTGCTGCTCTGGTCCGGTTCCGATCCGTCAGACCGATCTGCTGGGTTGTCACTGGAAGAACCCCTTCCACAAGACATCCCAGAACTGGACTGAGAGCCCATAGACTGAGAAGGCCTGGGGCGGAGAGAGGAGTATCATTACAGAYAAGGATTTACCTGGGGGGGTCAGGTGAAAACAAAACAAACAAAAAAAGATCAAGTTGGTTAATTAAGTATTTTATTTTTAATAACAAACGCTTTGCTTGAATAAATAAAAAACGTCACATTCGCGCTGTAGCTTGTCAGTATTTAAGTGCTTATATTATTTGAGGAGTTAGCTAAAAGCTAGCGAGAACACGGGCTACCGTTTGACTGTCCCTCCTCTGACAGCTCGTCGGTACCGGCAGTTCTGCTCGTTCTGCAGCCGGCTTTACGCGCTGCTGGGTCCGGAACCAAAGCGCGGCGTCTCGCAGTGATCCTGGAGGTCGRACGGCGCCGTGTTTGATCACTCTGCTAACCGGAGCAGTTCGCGAATCGCCATGTTGTTTACAAAAGTGTGCAAGTAAAACATTGCGCATGCCCCGCCCCCACGTCCATGTACTTTCACCGTCACGTGACTCCCGCCGTTGTCCTGATTGGCTGAGAGGCAGTGTGTCTAAATGTCACTGTGGGAAAAACAGATCAAACTAAAGTTTTCACCTCATAATTAAATGAGATTATATTGATTCCAAGCGTAAACAAAATACTTTTTTCTACAAATAACGGACTTTACATTGTTTACAAATTGCTTAACTAAAATAAACTTTAGTTTTTATAAATCATGTCTATGTACTTTTTCTATCACAAAAGTCCTATTTCTAAAAATATGTTAAGACATTCATTATCAGCAATAGTTAAATAAAACTCCACAAATCATCTGCTTCTTAAACCGAATCTACTCAGTCTCCTCCTCAAAGCATCTAACATTAATAACATTATTCTAACAGAGATTTTGGCTTTTTCTTCTGTAAATTACAGAGAAAATACTTGCTAATACTAAAATAAAGTCTTCTCTGGTTTTTCTGTTACTGAACTCATCTGTCGGATCCATCTGAATAAGTTTCTTTTAATAAATTCCAGCAACTTGCATTGTTTAGTGTGAAGAAAATACAACATAAAACAATGAAAATTTATTATTTTTATTGTCCTAGTGCATCTCAGTAAACCAGGTAGAAAGAATCAAAAAGAAAAAAATAATTTAAAAAAATAATTTATTATTTTTTGCTTAAAATTGTGCCCAAGTGTTGTATTAGTCTGAGGATATTTAACTAAAACTCTCCGTGAATCTATGAATCATTATAAATATCAGTGCATGAGAATTTAAATACAACATTTGGTAAAAAATAAAATCACCTTTTATCTTAATTAACCAATAAATAAAAGTGGTTTTATTGCTACAAGCTGTTTAGGAGTGTTTCGGAGTATCTTCATCGTGAGACGTCTGACGCCGGAGTAGCCCTCTGTTCCCTTTAACAGGCCCAAACACCAAAACAACAACAACAACAATGATCTCTTTTAAGGTAAACATAAAAGTAATCACATAGCAGCACAGAAAATCATTGTTTGTAACGGTTTTCACATTTAAAATCAGGGCTTTTTTTCCTGTATTTTCCCCCCAACCCTGTAGTTTAAAACTGGGTTTAGATTAACTAACAAATAAAAGCAGTTTTACAGAAATGATTCTGTTCGTTTCCACCAGTCCTCCGGTCTACAAAACATGAGCACTGAGCAGTTTAGCGTAATGCTCGGGGCGATATCGTTTAAGGAAAGCCGTCATTTTTCCATCAACTCGCTCATCTCCTGTAAGACCTGAGGGAAAAAAAAACAAAAAAAGACTTTAGTTCTTCAGATGTAAATAAAGTAAATGAATGCTTTATGAGGGAAATTAATTAAAAGAAAAAAAGCAGAACTATAGTGGAATTATGTTGTTAATGCTGAATCTTCATATTCCTGTTAATAGTTTCTTCAGGAGATGAGTGCTGGGACTTTTGTAACTTTTATATTTAATAAGTATTTATATTTATTCAGATTTTAAAATACTTCCTCAAAGAAACACCTTAACTTTTCAATTAAACATTTTCTCTTTAAATTTTGCTTAAGCAAAATGGCTATTTCTGTCTTCTGCTACCTTTAGCTTTTAGCTTCCAACTTATATTCTGCTACTTTGACTTGTTTTTTTTTGGTTTTAAATTTTAGCTTTAACATTCAGCTACTTTTAGCTTTAAGTACTGTTCTGCTTTTTTGACTATAGTTTCAAATTTCAGCTACTATTTTATCAGTATTAGCTAAATGATTTGTTTACTACTTGTACCTACAGTTTTAGTAATATTAGCATACGTTTTGCTACTTTTAGCTACTGTTTTCCCAATTCTGCGATTAAGATCTATTTAGCTAATCTTAGCTATCATTTAGATATCTGTGGCTTCATTATCTGTTTAAAATTTTGGATTTTTTCATGGTGTTTTAACTGTTTTCCTACTTTTCTACTACATTTAGCTACCGTTTTGCTGCTATTAGTTTTGAGCTTGAGTTCAGCTGCTTTTACACTTTAACTAACATTTTTCTACTTCTAGCTTTAGGTACTGTTTGGATTTTTTGGCTATAGTTTTTCTAATTTTAGATACTGCCTATTCATTTTTTCCTACTTTTAACTAGAGTTTCACTAATATTAGCTTATGTTTTGCTACTTTTAACTACTGTTTAACTAGTATTAGCATATTTTGGTACTTTTAGCTACAGTTTAATTAATATTAGCATGTTTTGCTACTTTTAGTTACTGTTCAACTAGTATTAGCGTATTTCGGTACTTTTAGCTACCATCCATCCATCCATTTTCTTCCTCCTATCCGGGGTCGGGTCGCGGGGGCAGCAGCTTCAGAAGGGAGGCCCAGACCTCCCTC